GAAGGAGGGAGAATGGGGCAGGGTGATGGAAGGAGGCGAATGGGGCGCGAGGGGATGGAAGGAGAGAGAAGGGGGCGGGATGATGGAAGTGGGAAAATGTGGCGGGGTAGATGAAAGCGGGAGAATGGGGTGGGGTTATGGGAAGCGGGAGAAGAATGGGGTGGGTGATGGAAAGCGGGAGAATGGGGCGGGGTGATGGAATGAGGAGAATGGGGCGGGGTGATGGAAGGAGGGGAGAATGGGGCGGGGTGATGGAAAGCGGAGTGATGAAAAGAGAGAGAATGGGCGGGGTGATGGAAGGAGGGAGAATGGGGCGGGGTGATGGAAAGCGGGAGAATGGGGCGGCGTGATGGGAAACGCGGGAGAATGGGGCGGGGTGATGGAAAGCGAGAGAATGGGGCGGGGTGATGGAAGGAGGGAGAATGGGGAGGGGTGATGGAAAGCGGGGGGAATGGGGCGAGATGATGGGAAGCGGAAGAATGGGGCGGGTGATGGAAAGCGGGAGAATGGGGGCGGGGAATGGAAAGCAGGAGAAAGGGGCCGGGTGATGGAAAGCGGAAGAATGGGCGGGCTGATGGAAAGCGGGAGGAATGGGGCAGGGTTGATGGAAGGAGGGAGAATGGGGCAGGGTGATGGAAGGAGAGAGAAGGGGCGGGATGATGGAAAGTGGGAAAATGTGGCGGGGTGATGGAAAGCGGGAGAATGGGGTGGGGGTTATGGGAAGCGGGAGAATGGGTGTGGGTGATGGAAAGCGGGAGAATGGGGCGGGGTGATGGAATGAGGGAGAATGGGGCGGGGTGATGGAAGGAGGGAGAATGGGGCGGGGTGATGGAAAGCGGGAGAATGGGGCGGGGTGATGGAAGGAGGGAGAATGGGGCGGGGTGATGGAAAGCGGGAGAATGGGGCGGCGTGATGGAAAGCGGGAGGAATGGGGCGGGGGTGATGGAAAGCGAGAGAATGGGGCGGGGTGATGGAAGGAGGGAGAATGGGGAGGGGTGATGGAAAGCGGGGGAATGGTGCGAGATGATGGGAAGCGGAAGAATGGGGCGGGGTGATGGAAAGCGGGAGAATGGGGCGGGGAGATGGAAAGCGGGAGAAAGGGGAGGGGTGATGGAAAGCGGGGAGAATGGGGCGGGCTGATGGAAAGCGGGGAGAATGGGGCGGGGTGATGGAAGGAGGGAGAATGGGGCGGGGTGATGGAAGGAGAGAGAAGGGGGCGGGGTGATGGAAAGTGGGAGAATGTGGCGGGGTGATGGAAAGCGGGAGAATGGGGTGGGGTTATGGGAAGCGGGAGAATGAGGCGGGGTGATGGAAAGCGGGAGAATGGGGCGGGGTGATGGAAGGAGGGAGAATGGGGCGGGGTGATGGAAGGAGGGATAATGGGGCGGAGTGATGGAAAGCGGGAAAATGGGGCGGGGTGATGGAAAGCGGGAGAATGGGGCGGGGTGATGGAAAGCGAGAGAATGGGGCGGGGTGATGGAAGGAGGGAGAATGGGGAGGGGTGATGTAAAGCGGGGGAATGGGGCGTGATGATGGGAAGCGAAAGAATGGGGCGGGGTGATGGAAGGAGGGAGAATGGGGCGGGATGATGGAAAGCGGGAGAACGGGGCGGGGTGATGGAAAGCGGGAGAATGGGGCGGGGTGATGGAAAGCGGGAGAATGGGGCGGGGTGATGGAAATCGGGAGAATGGGGCAGGGTGATGGAAAGCGGGAGAATGTAGCGGGGTGATGGAAGGAGGGAGAATGGGGCGGGGTGATAGAAAGCGGGAGAATGTGGCGGGGTGATGGAAAGCGGGAGAATGGGGTGGGGTTATGGGAAGCGGGAGAATGGGGCGGGGTGATGGAAAGCGGGAGAATGGGGCGGGGTGATGGAAGGAGGGAGAATGGGGCGGGGTGATGGAAGGAGGGAGAATGGGGGGGGGTGATGGAAAGCGGGAGAATGGGGCGGGGTGATGGAAGGAGGGAGAATGGGGCGGGGGTGATGGAAGGAGGGAGAATGGGGTGGGGTGATGGAAAGCGGGAGAATGGGGCGGGGTGATGGATAGCGGGAGAATGGGGCTGGGTGATGGAAAGCAGGAGAATGGGGGCGGGATGATGGAAAGCTGGAGAATGGGGCGGGGTGATGGAAGGAGGGAGAATGGGGCGGGGTGATGGAAAGCGGGAGATCGGGGCAGGGTGATGGAAAGCGGGAGAATGGGGCGGGGTGATGGAAAGCGGGAGAATGGGGCGGGGTGATGGAAGGAGGGAGAATGGGGCGGGGTGATGGAAAGCGGGAGATTGGGGCAGGGTGATGGAAAGCGGGAGAATGGGGCGGGGTGATGGAAAGCGGGAAAATGGGGCGGCGTGATGGAAAGCGGGAGAATGGGGCTGGGTGATGGAAAGCGGGAGAATGGGGCGAGGTGATGGAAAGCGGGAGAATGGGGCGGGGTGATGGAAGGAGGGAGAATGAGGCAGGGTGATGGAAGGAGGGAGAATGGGGCGGGGTGATGGAAGGAGGGAGAATGGGGTGGGGTGATGGAAAGCGGGAGAATGGGGCGGGGTGATGGAAAGCGGGAGAATGGGCTGGGTGATGGAAAGCGGGAGAATGGGGCGGGGTGATGGAAAGCGGGAGAATGGGGCGGGGTGATGGAAGGAGGGAGAATGGGGCGGGGTGATGGAAAGCGGGAGATTGGGGCAGGGTGATGGAAAGCGGGAGAATGGGGCGGGGTGATGGAAAGCGGGAGAATGGGGCTGGGCGATGGAAAGCGGGAGAATGGGGTGGGGTGATGGAAAGCGGGAGAATGGGGCGGGGTGATGGAAGGAGGAAGAATGAGGCGGGGTGATGGAAGGAGGGAGAATGGGGCGGGGTGATGGAAAGTGGGAGAATGGGTCGGGGTGATGGAAAGCGGGAGAATGGGTCGGAGTGATGGAAAGCGGGAGAATGGGGCGGGGTGATGGAAAGCGGGAGAATGGGGCGGGGTGTTGGAAAGCGGGAGAATGGAGCAGGGTGATGGAAAGCGGGAGAATGGGGCGGGGTGATGGAAAGCGGGAGAATGGGGCGGGTGATGGAAAGCGGGTGAATGGGGCAGGGTGATGGAAAGCGGGAGAATGGGGCGCGGTGATGGAAAGCAAAAGAATGGGGCGGGGTGATGGAAAGCGGGAGAATGGGGCGAGGTGATGGAAAGCGGGAGAATGGGGCGGGTGGTGGAAAGCGGAAGAATGGGGCGGGGTGATGGATGGAGGGAGAATGGGGAGGGGTGATGGAAAGCGGTGGAATGGGGCGGGATGATGGGAAGCGGAAGAAGGGGGCGGGGTGATGGAAAGCGGGAGAATGGGGCGGGGTGATGGAAAGCGGGAGAATGGGGCGGGAAGATGGAAAGCGGGAGAAAGGGGCGGGGTGATGGAAAGCGGGAGAATGGGGCGGGCTGATGGAAAGCGGGAGAATGGGGCGGGGTGACGGAAGGAGGGAGAATGGGGCGGGGTGATGGAAGGAGAGAGAAGGGGGCGGGGTGATGGAAAGTGGGAAAATGTGGCGGGTTGATGGAAAGCGGGAGAATGGGGTGGGGTTTTGGGAAGCGGGAGAATGGGGCGGGGTGATGGAAAGCGGGAGAATGGGGCGGGGTGATGGAATGAGGGAGAATGGGGCGGGGTGATGGAGGAGGGAGAATAAGGCGGGGTGATGGAAAGCGGGAGAATGGGGCGGGGTGATGGAAGGAGGGAGAATGGGGCGGGGTGATGGAAAGCGGGAGAATGGGGCGGCGTGATGGAAAGCGGGAGAATGGGGCGGGGTGATGGAAAGCGAGAGAATGGGGCGGGGTGATGGAAGGAGGGAGAATGGGGAGGGGTGATGGAAAGCGGGGGGAACGGGGCGAGATGATGGGAAGCGGAAGAATGGGGCGGGGTGATGGAAAGCGGGAGAATGGGGCGGGGTGATGGAAAGCGGGAGAATGGGGCGGGGAGATGGAAAGCAGGAGAAAGGGGAGGGGTGATGGAAAGCGGGAGAATGGGGCGGGCTGATGGAAAGCGGGAGAATGGGGCGGGGTGATGGAAGAAGGGAGAATGGGGCGGGGTGATGGAAGGAGAGAGAAGGGGGCGGGGTGATGGAAAGTGGGAGAATGTGGCGGGGTGATGGAAAGCGGGAGAATGGGGTGGGGTTATGGGAAGCGGGGGAATGAGGCGGGGTGATGGAAAGCGAGAGAACAGGGCGAGGTGATGGAAAGCGGGAGAATGGGGCAGGGGGATGGAAGGAGGGAGAATGGGGCGCGGTGATGGAGGGAGGGAGAATGGGGCGGGGTGATGGAAAGCGGGAGAATGGGGCGGGGTGATGGAAAGCGGGAGAATGGGGCGGGGTGATGGAAAGTGGGAGAACAGGGCGGGGTGATGGAAAGTGGGAGAATGCGACGGGGTGATGGAAAGCTGGAGAATGGGGCGGGGTGATGCAAAGTGGGAGAACGGGGCGGGGTGATGGAAAGCGGGAGAATGGGGCGGGGTGATGGAAAGCTGGAGAATGGGGCGGGGTGATGGAAAGCAGGACAATGGGGCGGGGGTGATGGAAAGTGGGAGAATGGGGCGGGGTGATCGAAGGAGGGAGAATGGGGCGTGGTGATGGAAGGAGGGAGAATGGGGTGGGGTGATAGAAAGCGGGAGAAATGGGGCGGGGTGATGGAAAGCGTGAGAATGGGGCGATGTTATGGAAAGCGGGAGAATGGGGCGGGGTGATGGAAAGCGGGAGAACGGGGCGGGATGATGTTAAGCGGGAGAACGGGGTGGGGTGATGGAACGCTGGAGAATGGGGCGGGGTGATGGAAAGCAGGAGAATGGGGCGCGGTGATGGAAAGTGGGAGAATGGGGCGGGGTGATGGAAAGCGGGAGAATGGGGCGGGGTGATGGAAAGCGGGAGAATGGGGCGGGGTGATGGAAAGCGGGAGAATGGGGCGGGATGATGAAAGGAGGGAGAATGGGGTGGGGTGATGGAAGGAGGGAGATTGGGGCGGGGTGATGGAAAGCGGGAGAAGGGGGCGAGGTGATGGAAAGCGGGAGAATAGGGCGGGGCAATGGAATGCGGGAGACTGGGGCGGGGTGAGGGAAAGCGGGAGAATGGGGCGGGTTGATCGAAAGCGGGAGAATGGGGCTGGGCGATGGAAAGCGGGAGAATGGGGTGGGGTGATGGAAAGCGGGAGAATGGGGCGGGGTGATGGAAGGAGGAAGAATGAGGCGGGGTGATGGAAGGAGGGAGAATGGGGCGGGGTGATGGAAAGTGGGGAGAATGGGTCGGGGTGATGGAAAGCGGGAGAATGGGTCGGAGTGATGGAAAGCGGGAGAATGGGGCGGGGTGATGGAAAGCGGGAGAATGGGGCGGGGTGATGGAAAGCGGGAGAATGGAGCAGGGTGATGGAAAGCGGGAGAATGGGGCGGGGTGATGGAAAGCGGGAGAATGGGGCGGGTGATGGAAAGCGGGTGAATGGGGCAGGGTGATGGAAAGCGGGAGAATGGGGCGGGGGTGATGGAAAGCAAAAGAATGGGGCGGGGTGATGGAAAGCGGGAGAATGGGGCGAGGTGATGGAAAGCGGAAGAATGGGGCGGGGTGATGGATGGAGGGAGAATGGGGAGGGGTGATGGAAAGCGGTGGAATGGGGCGGGATGATGGGAAGCGGAAGAATGGGGCGGGGTGATGGAAAGCGGGAGAATGGGGCGGGGTGATGGAAAGCGGGAGAATGGGGCGGGAAGATGGAAAGCGGGAGAAAGGGGCGGGGTGATGGAAAGCGGGAGAATGGGGCGGGCTGATGGAAAGCGGGAGAATGGGGCGGGGTGATGGAAGGAGGGAGAATGGGGCGGGGTGATGGAAGGAGAGAGAAGGGGGCGGGGTGATGGAAAGTGGGAAAATGTGGCGGGTTGATGGAAAGCGGGAGAATGGGGTGGGGTTTTGGGAAGCGGGAGAATGGGGCGGGGTGATGGAAAGCAAGAGAATGGGGCGGGGTGATGGAATGAGGGAGAATGGGGCGGGGTGATGGAGGAGGGAGAATAAGGCGGGGTGATGGAAAGCGGGAGAATGGGGCGGGGTGATGGAAGGAGGGAGAATGGGGCGGGGTGATGGAAAGCGGGAGAATGGGGCGGCGTGATGGAAAGCGGGAGAATGGGGCGGGGTGATGGAAAGCGAGAGAATGGGGCGGGGTGATGGAAGGAGGGAGAATGGGGAGGGGTGATGGAAAGCGGGGGAATGGGGCGAGATGATGGGAAGCGGAAGAATGGGGCGGGGTGATGGAAAGCGGGAGAATGGGGCGGGGTGATGGAAAGCGGGAGAATGGGGCGGGGAGATGGAAAGCAGGAGAAAGGGGAGGGGTGATGAAAAGCGGGAGAATGGGGCGGGCTGATGGAAAGCGGGAGAATGGGGCGGGGTGATGGAAGGAGGGAGAATGGGGCGGGGTGATGGAAGGAGAGAGAAGGGGGCGGGGTGATGGAAAGTGGGAGAATGTGGCGGGGTGATGGAAAGCGGGAGAATGGGGTGGGGTTATGGGAAGCGGGAGAATGAGGCGGGGTGATGGAAAGCGAGAGAACAGGGTGAGGTGATGGAAAGCGGGAGAATGGGGCAGGGTGATGGAAGGAGGGAGAATGGGGCGCGGTGATGGAGGGAGGGAGAATGGGGCGGGGTGATGGAAAGCGGGAGAATGGGGCGGGGTGATGGAAAGCGGGAGAATGGGGCGGGGTGATGGAAAGTGGGAGAACAGGGCGGGGTGATGGAAAGTGGGAGAATGCGACGGGGTGATGGAAAGCTGGAGAATGGGGCGGGGTGATGCAAAGTGGGAGAACGGGGCAGGATGATGGAAAGCGGGAGAATGGGGCGGGGTGATGGAAAGCTGGAGAATGGGGCGGGGTGATGGAAAGCAGGACAATGGGGCGGGGTGATGGAAAGTGGGAGAATGGGGCGGGGTGATGGAAGGAGGGAGAATGGGGCGTGGTGATGGAAGGAGGGAGAATGGGGTGGGGTGATAGAAAGCGGGAGAATGGGGCGGGGTGATGGAAAGCGCGAGAATGGGGCGATGTTATGGAAAGCGGGAGAATGGGGCGGGGTGATGGAAAGCGGGAGAACGGGGCGGGATGATGTTAAGCGGGAGAATGGGGTGGGGTGATGGAACGCTGGAGAATGGGGCGGGGTGATGGAAAGCAGGAGAATGGGGCGCGGTGATGGAAAGTGGGAGAATGGGGCGGGGTGATGGAAAGCGGGAGAATGGGGCGGGGTGATGGAAAGCGGGAGAATGGGGCGGGGTGATGGAAAGCGGGAGAATGGGGCGGGATGATGAAAGGAGGGAGAATGGGGTGGGGTGATGGAAGGAGGGAGATTGGGGCGGGGTGATGGAAAGCGGGAGAAGGGGGCGAGGTGATGGAAAGCGGGAGAATAGGGCGGGGCTATGGAATGCGGGAGACTGGGGCGGGGTGAGGGAAAGCGGGAGAATGGGGCGGGTTGATCGAAAGCGGGAGAATGGGGCAGGGTGATGGAAAGTAGGAGAATGGGGCGGGGCTATGGAAGGAGGGAGAATGGGGCGGGGTGATGGAAGGAGGGAGAATGGGGCGGGGTGATGGAAAGCAGGAGAATGGGGCAAGGTGATGGAAAGCGTGAGAATGGGGCGGTGTCATGGAAACAAGAGAATGGGGCAGGGTGATGGAAAGCGGGAGAATGGGGCGGGGTGATGGAAAGCGGGAGAATGGGGCGGGGTGATGGAAAGCGGGGAGAATGGGGCGTGGTGATGGAAAGCGGGAGAATGGGGCGAGGTGATGGAAAGCGGGAGAATGGGGCAGGGTGATGGAAGGAGGGACAATAGGGCGCAGTGATTGAGGGAGTGAGAATGGGGTGGGGTGATGGAAAGCGGGAGAATGGGGCGGGGTGATGGAAAGCGGGGAATGGGGCGGGGTGATGGAAAGTGGGAGAACGGGGCGGGGTGATGGATAGCGGGAGAATGGGGCGGGGTGATGGAAAGCTGGAGAATGGGGCGGGGTGATGCAAAGTGGGAGATCGGGGCGGGGTGATGGAAAGCGGGAGAATGGGGCGGGGTGATGGAACGCTGGAGAATGGGGCGGGGTGATGGAAAGCAGGAGAATGGGGCGGGGTGATGGAAAGTGGGAGAATGGGGCGGGGTGATGGAAAGCAGGAGAATGGGGCGGGGTGATGGAAAGCGTGAGAATGGGGCGGTGTGGTGGAAAGCGGGAGAATGGGGCGGGGTGATTGAAAGCGGGAGAATGGGGCGGGGTGATGGAAAGCGGGAGAACGGGGCGAGGTGATGGAAAGCGGGAGAATGGGGCAGGGTGATGGAGGGAGGGAGAATGGGGCGGGGTGATGGAAAGCGGGAGAATGGGGCGGGGTGATGGAAAGCGGGAGAATGGGGCGGGGTGATGGAAAGTGGGAGAACAAGGGGGGGTGATGGAAAGAGGGAGAATGGGGCGGGGTGATGGAAAGCGGGAGAATGGGGCGGGGTGATGGTAAGCGGGAGAACGGGGCGGGGTGATGGAAAGAGGGAGAATGGGGCGGGGTGATGGAAAGCGGGAGGATGTGGCGGGGTGATGAAAAGCGGGAGAACGGGGCGGGGTGATGGAAAGAGGGAGAATGGGGCGGGGTGATGGAAAGCGGGAGAATGGGGCGGGGTGATGGAAAGCGGGAGAATGGGGCGGGGTGATGGAAAGAGGGAGACTAGGGAGGGGTGATGGAAAGAGGGAGAATAGGGCGGGGTGATGCAAAGCGGGAGAATGGAGCGGGGTGATGGAAAGAGGGAGAATGGGACGGGGTGATGGAAAGCGGGAGAATGGGGCGGGGTGATGGAAAGCGGGAGAATGGGGCGGGGTGATGGAAAGCGAGAGAATGGGGCGGGGTGATGGAATGAGGGAGAATGGGGCAGGGTGATGGAAAGCAGGAGAATGGGGCGAGGTGATGGAATGCGGGAAAATGGGGCGGGGTGATGGAAAGCAAGAGAATGGGGCGGGGTGATTGAAAGAGGGAGAATGGGGCGGGGTGATGGAAAGCGGGAGAATGGGGCGGGGTGATGGAAAGAGGGAGAATGGGGCGGGGTGATAGAATTCGGGAGAATGGGGCGGGGTGATGGAAAGAGGGAAGGATGGGGTGGGGTGATGGAACGCAAAAGAATGGGGCGGGGTGATGGAAAGCGGGAGAATGGGACGGGGTGATGGAAAGCGGGAGAATTGGGTGGGGTGATGGATGGAGGGAGAATGGGGAAGGGTGATGAAAAGAGGGAGAATGGGGCGGGGTGATGGAAAGCTCGAGAATGGGTCGGGGTGATGGAAAGCGGGAGAATGGGGCGGGTTGATGGAAAGCGGGAGAATGGGGCGGGGTGATGGAAAGAGGCGAAAGAATGGGGCGGGGTGAAGGAAAGCGGGAGAATGGGGCGGGTGATCGAAAGAGGGAGAATGGGGCGGGGTGATGGAAAGCGGGAGAATGGGTCGAGTTGATGGAAAGCGGGAGAATGGGGCGGGGTGATGGAAAGTTGGAGAATGGGGCGGGGTGATGGAAAGCGGGAGAATGGGGCGGGGTGATGGAAACCGGGAGAATGGGGCGGAGTGATGGAAAGCGGGAGAATGGGGCGGGGTGATGGAAATTGGCCAGAGAATGGGGCGGGGTGATGGAAATCGGGAGAATGGGGCGGGGTGATGGAAAGAGGGAGAATGGGGCGGGGTGATAGAAAGAAGTAGAATGGGGCAGAGTGATGGAAAGTGAGAGAATAAGGCAGGGTGATGGAAACCGGGAGAATGGGGCGGGGTGATGGAAACCGGGAGAATGGGGCGGGGTGATGGAAAGCAGGAGAATGGGGCGGGGTGATGGAAAGCGGGAGAATGGGGCGGGATGTTGGAAAGAGGGAGAATGGGGCGGGGTGATGGAAAGAGGGAGAATGGGGCTGGGTGATGGAAAGCAGGAGAATGGGGCGGGGTGATGGAAAGCGGGAGAATGGGGCGGGGTGATGGAAAGCGGGAGAACGGGGCGGGGTGATGGGAAGCGGGAGAATGGGGGCGGGGTGATGGAAAGCGGGAGAATGGGGCGCGGTGATGGAAAGCGGGAGAATGGGGCGGGGTGATGGAATGAGGCGGGAGAATGGGACGGGGTGATGGAAAGCGGGAGAATGGGGCGGGGTGATGGAAAGCAGGAGAATGGGGCGGGGTGATGGAAAGAGGGAGAATGGGGAGGGGTGATGGAAAGCAGGAGAATGGGGCGGGGTGATGGAAAGAGGGGAGGATGGGGTGGGGTGATGGAACGCAAAAGAATGGGGCGGGGTGATGGAAAGCGGGAGAATGGGACGGGGTGATGGAAAGCGGGAGAATTGGGTGGGGTGATGGATAGAGGGAGAATGGGGAAGGGTGATGGAAAGAGGGAGAATGGGGCGGGGTGATGGAAAGCTGGAGAATGGGGCAGGGTGATGGAAAGCGGGAGAATGGGGCGGGGTGATGGAAAGCGGGAGAATGGGGCGGGGTGATGGAAAGCGGGAGAATGGGGCGGAGTGATGGAAAGCGGGAGAATGGGGCGGGTGATTGAAAGAGGGAGAATGGGTCGGGTTGATGGAAAGCGGGAGAATGGGGCGGGGTGATAGAAAGTTGGAGAATGGGGCGGGGTGATGGAAAGCGGGAGAATGGGGCGGGGTGATGGAAAGCGGGAGAATGGGGCGGAGTGATGGAAAGCGGGAGAATGGGGCGGGGTGATGGAAAGAGGCGAGAGAGTGGGGCGGGGTGATGGAAATCGGGAGAATGGGGCGGGGTGATGGAAAGAGGGAGAATGGGGCGGGGTGATAGAAAGAGGTAGAATGGGGCAGAGTGATGGAAAGCGAGAGAATGGGGCAGGGTGATGGAAACCGGGAGAATGGGGCGGGGTGATGGAAACCGGGAGAATGGGGCGGGGTGATGGAAAGCAGGAGAATGGGGCGGGGTGTTGGAAAGCGGGAAAATGGGGCGGGGTGATGTCCACGTCCACGTTCATGTCCACGTCCACGTCCACGTCCACGTCCACATTCATGTCCACGTCCACGTCTATGTCCACGTCCATGTCCACGTCCACGTCTTTGTCCATGTCCACGTCCACTTCCACGTCCACGTCCACGTCTACGTCCACGTCCACGTCCACGTCCACGTCCATGTCCACGTCCATGTCCAGGTCCAGGTCCACGTCCACGTCCACGTCCATGTCCACGTCCATGTCCACGTCCACGTCCACGTCCATGTCCACGTCCACGTCTACGTCCACGTCAATGTCCACGTCAATGTCCACGTCCATGTCCACGTCCACGTCCACGTCCACGTCCATGTCCACGTCCACGTCCACGTCCATGTCCACGTCCACGTCCACGTCCATGTCCACGTCCACGTCCATGTCCACGTCCACGTCCACGTCCACGTCCATGTCCACGTCCACGTCCACGTCCATGTCCACGTCCACGTCTACGTCCATGTCCATGTCCATGTCCACGTCCACGTCCACGTCCACGTCCACGTCCACGTCCACGTCCACGTCCACGTCCATGTCCACGTCCACGTCCACGTCCACTCCACGTCCATGTCCACGTCCACGTCCACGTCCACGTCCACGTCCACGTCCATGTCCACGTCCACGTCCACGTCCATGTCCACGTCCACGTCCACGTCCACGTCCAACGTCCACGTCAACGTCCACGTCCACGTCCACGTCCATGTCCACGTCCACGTCAACGTCCACGTCCACGTCCATGTCCACGTCCACGTCCACGTCCATGTCCACGTCCACGTCCATGTCCACGTCCACGTCCACGTCCACGTCCATGTCCACGTCCACGTCCACGTCCACGTCCACGTCCATGTCCACGTCCAAGTCCACGTCCACGTCCAGGTCCACGTCCACGTCCACGTCCATGTCCACGTCCATGTCCACGTCCACGTCCACGTCCACGTCCATGTCCACGTCCACGTCTACGTCCATGTCCATGTCCCTGTCCACAGTCCATGTCCATGTCCACGTCCACGTCCACGTCCACGTCCACGTCCACGTCCATGTCTACGTCTACGTCCACGTCCACGTCCACGTCCACGTCCATGTCCACGTCCATGTCCACGTCCACGTCCACGTCCACGTCCATGTCCACGTCCATGTCCACGTCCACGTCCACGTCCATGTCCACGTCTACGTCCACACGTCCACGTCCACGTCCATGTCCACGTCCATGTCCACGTACACGTCCACGTCCACGTCCATGTCCACGTCGATGTCCACGTCCACGTCCACGTCCACGTCCACGTCCAGGTCCATGTCCACGTCCACGTCCACGTCCACGTCCACGTCCATGTCCATGTCCATGTCCACGTCCACGTCCACGTCCATGTCCACGTCCACGTCCACGTCCACGTCCACGTCCAAGTCGACATCCACGTCCACGTCCACGTCCACGTCCACGTCCACGTCCATGTCCACGTCCACATCCACGTCAACGTCCACGTCCACGTCCACGTCCACGTCCATGTCCACGTCCATGTCCACGTCCACGTCCATGTCCACGTCCACGTCCATGTCCACACAAATTTCCACGTCCATGTCCACGTCCACGTCCACGTCGACGTCCACCTCCACGTCCACGTCCATGTCCACCTCCACGTCCACCTCCATGTCCATGTCCACGTCCACGTCCACGTCCACGTCCATGTCCACGTCCATGTCCACGTCCACGTCCACGTCCACGTCCATGTCCAGGTCCATGTCCATGTCCACGTCCACGTCCACGTCCACGTCCACGTCCACGTCCACGTCCACGTCCACGTCCATGTCCACGTCCACGTCCACGTCCACGTCCACGTCCATGTCCACGTCCACGTCCATCTCCACGTCCACGTCCACGTCCACGTCCACGTCCACGTCCACGTCTATGTCCACATCCACGTCCATGTCCACGTCCATGTCCACGTCCATGTCCACGTCCACGTCCAGGTCCAGGTCCACGTCCACGTCCACGTCCACGTCCACGTCCACATCCACGTCCACGTCCACATCCACGTCCACGTCCACGACCACGTCCACGTCCATGTCCACGTCCACGTCCGAGTGCACGTCCATGTCCACGTCCATGTCCACGTCCACGGCCACCCACGTCGACGTCCACGTTCATGTCCACGTCCACGTCTATGTCCACGTCCATGTCCACGTCCACGTCTTTGTCCATGTCCACGTCCACTTCCACGTCCACGTCCACGTCTACGTCCACGTCCACGTCCACGTCCACGTCCATGTCCACGTCCATGTCCAGGTCCAGGTCCACGTCCACGTCCACGTCCATGTCCACGTCCATGTCCACGTCCACGTCCACGTCCACGTCAATGTCCACGTCAATGTCCACGTCCATGTCCACGTCCACGTCCACGTCCACGTCCCATGTCCACGTCCACGTCCACGTCCATGTCCACGTCCACGTCCACGTCCATGTCCACGTCCACGTCCATGTCCACGTCCACGTCCACGTCCACGTCCATGTCCACGTCCACGTCCACGTCCATGTCCACGTCCACGTCTACGTCCATGTCCATGTCCATGTCCACGTCCACGTCCACGTCCACGTCCACGTCCACGTCCACGTCCACGTCCACGTCCATGTCCACGTCCACGTCCACGTCCACGTCCACTTCACGTCCATGTCCACGTCCACGGTCCACGTCCACGTCCATGTCACGTCCACGTCACGTCCATGTCCACGTCCACGTCCACGTCCACGTCCACGTCCACGTCAACGTCCAATGTCCACGTCCACGTCCATGTTCCACGTCCACGTCAACGTCCACGTCCACGTCCATGTCCACGTCCCACGTCCACGTCCATGTCCACGTCCACGTCCTGTCCACGTCCACGTCCACGTCCACGTCCATGTCCACGTCCACGTCCACGTCCACGTCCACACGTCCACGTCCATGTCCACGTCCAAGTCCATGTCCACGTCCAGGTCCACGTCCATGTCACGTCCATGTCCACGTCCATGGTCCACGTCCACGTCCACGTCCACGTCCATGTCCACGTCCACGTCTACGTCCATGTCCATGTCCCTGTCCACGTCCATGTCCATGTCCACGTCCACGTCCACGTCCACGTCCACGTCCACATCTACGTCTACGTCCACGTCCACGTCCACGTCCACGTCCATGTCCACGTCCATGTCCACGTCCACGTCCACGTCCACGTCCATGTCCACGTCCATGTCCACGTCCACGTCCACGTCCATGTCCACATCTACGTCCACACGTCCACGTCCACGTCCATGTCCACGTCCATGTCCACGTACACGTCCACGTCCACGGTCCATGTCCACGTCCATGTCCACGTCCACGTCCACGTCCATGTCCACGTCTACGTCCACGTCCACGTCCACGACGATGTCCACGTCCACGTCCACGTCCACGTCCACGTCCAGGTCCATGTCCACGTCCACGTCCACGTCCACGTCCACGTCCATGTCCATGTCCATGTCCACGTCCACGTCCACGTCCATGTCCACGTCCACGTCCACGTCCACGTCCAAGTCCACATCCACGTCCACATCCACGTCCACGTCCACGTCCACGTCCACGTCCACGTCCATGTCCACGTCCACGTCCACGTCAACGTCCACGTCCACGTCCACGTCCATGTCCACGTCCATGTCCACGTCCACGTCCATGTCCACGTCCACGTCCATGTCCACACAAATTTCCACGTCCATGTCCACGTCCACGTCCACTTCCACGTCCACGTCCACGTCCATGTCCACGTCACGTCCATGTCCACGTCCATGTCCACGTCCACGTCCACGTCCACGTCCATGTCCACGTCCACGTCCACGTCCACGTCCACGTCCACGTCCACGTCCACGACCACGTCCACGTCCACGTCCATGTCCACGTCCACGTCCACGTCCACGTCCACGTCCACGTCCACGTCCATGTCCACGTCCACGTCCACGTCCACGTCCACGTCCATGTCCACGTCCACGTCCACGTCCATGTCCACGTCCAAGTCCTCCACGTCCACGTCCAGGTCCATGTCCACGTCCATCTCCACATCCATCTCCACATCCACGTCCATGTCCACGTCCACGTCCATGTCCACGTCCATGTCCACATCCACGTCCAATGTCCACGTCCATGTCCACGTCCATGTCCACGTCCACGTCCACGTCCACGTCCACGTCCACGTCCATGTCCATGTCCACGTCCACGGTCCACGTCCATATCCAAGTCCATATCCACGTCCACGTCCACGTCCATGTCCACGTCCACGTCCACGTCCATGTCCATGTCCATGTCCACGTCCACGTCTATGTCCACGTCCACGTCCACGTCCACGTCCATGTCCACGTCCACGTCCACGTCCACGTCCACGTCCACGTCCACGTCCACGTCCATGTCCACGTCCACGTCCACGTCCACGTCCATGTCCACGTCCACGTCCACGTCCACGTCCACGTCCATGTCCACGTCCATGTCCACGTCCATGTCCATGTCCACGTCCACGTCCACGTCCACGACCATGTCCACGTCCACGTCCACGTCCACGACCACGTCCACGTCCACGTCCACGTCCAAGTCTACGTCCACGTCCACGTCCACGTCCACGGTCCACGTCCATGTCCACGTCCAAGTCCTCCACGTCCACGTCCACGTCCATGTCCACGTCCACGTCCACGTCCACGTCCACGTCCATGTCCACGTCCATGTCCACGTCCACGTCCACGTCCACGTCCACGTCCACGTCCATGTCCACGTCCACGTCCACGTCCACGTCCACGTCCACGTCCACGTCGACGTCCACGTCCACGTCCACGTCCACGTCCACGTCCATGTCCACGTCCACGTCCATGTCCACGTCCAAGTCCACGTCCACGTCCACGTCCACGTCCACGTCCATGTCCACGTCCATGTCCACGTCCACGTCCCACGTCCACGTCCATGTCCACGTCCCGTCTACGTCCATGTCCATGTCCCTGTCCACGTCCATGTCCATGTCCACGTCCACGTCCACGTCCACGTCCACGTCTACGTCTATGTCCACGTCCACGTCCACGTCCATGTCCACGTCCATGTCCACGTCCACGTCCACGTCCACGTCCACGACCACGTCCACGTCCACGTCCACGTCCACGACCACGTCCACGTCCACGTCCACGTCCACGTGCTACGTCACGTCCATGTCCACGTCCATGTCCACGTCCAAGTCCTCCACGTCCACGTCCACGTCCATGTCCACGTCCACGTCCACGTCCATGTCCACGTCCACGTCCACGTCCACGTCCACGTCCACGTCCATGTCCACGTCCACGTCCACGTCCACGTCCACGACCACGTCCACGTCCACGTCCATGTCCACGTCCATGTCCACGTCCACGTCCATGTCCACGTCCACGTCCATGTCCACGTCCACGTCCACGTCCACGTCCATGTCCACGTCCATGTCCACGTCCACTTCCACGTCCACGTCCACGTCCACGTCCACGTCCACGTCCATGTCCATGTCCACGTCCACGTCCACGTCCACGTCCACGTCCACGTCCATGTCCACGTCCATGTCCATGTCCATGTCCACGTCCATGTCCACGTCCACGTCAACGTCCACGTCCACGTCCATGTCTACGTCCACGTCCACGTCCACGTCCACGTCCATGTCCACGTCCATGTCCACGTCCACGTCCATGTCCACGTCCATGTCCATGTCCACATCCACGTCCATGCCACGTCCACGTCCATGCCACGTCCACGTCCATGTCCACGTCCACGTCCACGTCCATGTCCACGTCCAAGTCCTCCACGTCCACGTCCATGTCCATGTCCACGTCCACGTCCACGTCCATGTCCACGTCCATGTCCACGTCCACATCCACGTCCACGTCCACGTCCACGTCCATGTCCACGTCCACGTCCACGTCTACGTCCACGTCCACGTCCACGTCCACGTCCACGTCCATGTCCACGGTCCACGTCCACGTCCATGTCCACGTCCATGTCCACGTCCACGTCCACTTCTACGTCCATGTCCACGTCCACGTCCACGTTCAGTCCACGTCCAAGTCCTCCACGTCCACGTCCACGTCCATGTCCACGTCCATGTCCACGTCCACGTCCACGTCCACGTCGACATCCACGTCCATGTCCACGTCCACGTCCACGTCCACGTCCACGTCCACGTCCACGACCACGTCCACGTCCAGTCCATGTCCACGTCCACGTCCACGTCCACGTCCACGTCCATGTCCACGTCCACGTCCACGTCCACGTCCACGTCCACGTCCACGTCCACGTCCATGTCCACGTCCACGTCCACGTCCACGTCCACGTCCACGTCCATGTCCACGTCCACGTCCAGGTCCATGTCCACGTCCATGTCCACGTCCACGTCCACGTCCATGTCCACGTCCACGTCCACGTCCATGTCCATGTCCATGTCCACATCCACGTGCACGTCCACATCCATGTCCATATCCATGTCCACGTCCACATCCATGTCCATGTCCACGTCCACGTCCACGTCCATGTCCACGTCCAAGTCCTCCACGTCCACGTCCACGTCTATGTCCACGTCCACGTCCACGTCCACGTCCACGTCCACGTCTACGTCTACGTCCATGTCCACGTCCACGTCCACGTCCACGTCCACATCCATGTCCATATCCATGTCCACGTCCACATCCATGTCCATGTCCACGTCCACGTCCATGTCCACGTCCAAGTCCTCCACGTCCACGTCACGTCCATGTCCACGTCCACGTCCACGTCCACGTCTACGTCCACGTCCATGTCCACGTCCACGTCCACGTCCACGTCCACGTCTACGTCCACGTCCATGTCCACGTCCACGTCCACGTCCACGTCCACGTCCATATCCACGTCCACGTCCACGTCCACGTCCACGTCCACGTCGACGTCCACGTCCATGTCCACGTCCACGTCCACGTCCACGTCCACGTCCACGTCCATGTCCACGTCCACGTCCACGTCCACGTTCCACGTCCTATGTCCACGTCCACGTCCATGTCCATGTCCATGTCCACGTCCACGTCCACATCCATGTCCATGTCCATGTCCACGTCCACATCCATGTCCATGTCCACG